CACAAGAAAACTAAGAAATGCCACAGTATATAATGACATTCTATTCTCTCAATACAAATGAAAAGGAATCTCAAAATATGATGCACTTGGTTTCTTTCTCTAGCACAGGAATAATGACTGAATAGAACACTGAAGCTTAGGCTCATCATAGCTATATTAAAAAAAAAACCAGGAAAATTCCATTTAGGTATCATGAAAACATTTAAGTTATTTCCAAGTCTCTGTGGATATAAGTCCATAGGTTATCTGCAAAGACCCCATACATTATTTTACAGGGAACAGCTAAACAAATTGGCTCCAACAAAAATACAAATAAATGGATTAAAAACTGGCTATCTAACCGTATACAGAGAGAAATCGTAATTGGTAGTCCGTCTAGTTGGGGAGAGGTTTCCAGTTGGGTCCCACAAGGATCGATATTGGGTCCCATTTTGTTTAATATCTTTATAAAAAATCTGGAAGACAAAGTAGAGAATGTGCTAATTAAGTCGACTGATGCCAGTAGAATAGGATTTGTGGTTAAAGTAAATTGGATGTAGGTAAATGCTACTGGTCTTTAGAAAGACTGATGCTAACAGAGAGTAGGATTTTGAATCAGCTGTATTTTTTAATGTATCATTTAAAAAAATCTAATTCCAAGCACTAGAAATAAATAGATTTAAAAAGTTTTAGTAGCTTTGCATTACAAAAAATTAGGCACAATGGATAAAGGCAACACAGAGACTCACAACACCCATGAACACAGAATAAAGAATGCTCCCCAAATGGAGATCTTTTTGGCACAGTTCTATTTGGAAAACTGGTGTTTATGGGTCCCTCAATGCAATTAAGATATTGGAGGCTTTTCAGATATGTAGGAGTCAAGGTGGTGAAATGGCAGGAGTAACTAAATTCTCAAATATACATATACTTAGTTATTGGCAGCAAAATAATCAATGAACAACATAAAGCTTAAAAGAAAAAAAGGAGAGTTGAAAACTTGAAGCCATAAGCAAGAAAAGGAAGTGAAATTAATCAAGAGCAAATTCTATAAGGAAATACACACACACACACACACACACACACAAATAGAAGAATGCAAGGGATAATAGGAAGGACTCTCCTAACACTAGGATAGAGATTATATATATATATATTATATATATAGTTTTGTTTTGTTTTTTAATTAACAACTCTAGAAGATACTTGGAAAAAATATTCAGTAGATGTCTTTTTGGTTTGAGGTTTATTTAAAATTCTTAGTATTTTATGACTTAATTTGTCACATGAAGACAATGAAAGTGATAGTTTGTTGGCCATGTACTCTAGTGTGTAAACAGATGTGGTTTGTTTTTTTTTCAGGTGAAGTCAACTGAATTGAATATATGGAGTAATGTGGAGTCAGGTTTTAATTTTTACATTATTTTTGTACTTGCTAGCATAGCAGAATGTATACCAGATACAGACTGGAAAATCCAGATCAAGTCTCAGAAATTTTATTAATTTTGTTATGCAACCTTGGGTATTTTACTCTCCTTAAGAGCCTTAGTTTTTGTATCAGTTAAATGGCAAGATAAGAATTGTTTTAAGAGCTGCATATATTCTTGTTAAATTAAAAATTTACAGGAAACCAATACAGAGAAGATATTAGAAAAATGTGGAAGTATGCCCTTGAAGCAACAGTTGGCTCCCACTTGGCTAGGCTTCCCATATTCATCCCTCCCTGACCTCAGGACAGAGCCCAGTTTAAAAATCACTTTAGATGATCTGACATGCTGCCTGCATCTCTAGGAAACCATCAAGGGAAGCTGAAAAGGTCAATCCCTCTCCTGGTGACTGATTTTTCCAGAGCATCCAACAATCCTTAGCTGATTATATGTGCCCCAGCTTTAGAAAAAAAAAAAGAAAAAAATTTGAATTACAGTTGAAAAGAAGGGACATTCTTGATAAGAAATAGAGTGGCATTATTCATGATGCCAACACAAAAGAAAGTGATGTGCAATCAGAGCCCTATGTAGATCTCTAATCCTTCATGCTGGGTTAAAAAAGAAACCATGGGAGTATGAAATGTGAAATGGTCACCTTTTGTTTTAATCAAATCAGGATGGCTCTAAGTATTCTGGCCTAAGAAATGATAGTTTGTAGCTGGTTTGCTATAGATTTTATAGCTAATACGGGTTGAAAAATTATTTCCTTGCACTGACTTTAAAACTTCTAACATGAAACATTCCTCTGCAGATAGTGCTCCCTTTTAGGAATGGGATTTCACCCTATATGCTATATATTTACACTGTAAAATATACAAACATTGGCAATATGTCTGGAGACTGTAAATTTTACTTTAAAAAGTAATAATTCCTATCATTTATAATATTTTAATATTTTATTAGTATTTACCTCTTACAGAGTGTTTACCATATATTGAGGACTATGTTATCCTCTCTACACATTATCACAAATAATCTTCATAATAACTTATGAGAGAGGCATTAACCCCATTTTTATAGATGAAGAAACTGAAGGGTCAGAGAGGCTTGCTTGCTTGCTTGCTTATTCGTTTGTTTATTACGTACTGTCACACAACTGTAAATGGATGGTAAATGCTGGATTTGACTGACTACAAAATACTTGTTTAGAACTGTTGTGCTAATTATAACTCCCGATGTCTTGATATTACACAACTTGATTGAAGAAAGTGGAGAAACCACTTGTATTTAAGAGATTTAAGAACAGGACAAGCATCTTATATTTTTCTGGGCCTCAGTTTCCTATGTTTGAAACTAGAGGATTGGATTACAGTAGGGTTTTTTAACCTCAGCATTATTGACATTGGGGCTGGATAGTTATTTGTTATGAGGAGGCTGTTCAAAGCACAGAAGGATGTTTGGTAGCATCCTGGGCCTCTATTCACTAGATACTGGTAACAATTCCCTCCTCCCAGTTTTGACAATCCAAAATATCTACAGACATTGTCAAAATCCTCTGGGGGAAAAATCACCTGTTTTTTGAGAACCACTATACTAGAAGAACTCTGATATCTTTTTTGTTCTCTCATATTCTATGCTCTGAATTGTGGGTCCAACTTCAGCCAAGAGGATGGGCTTTTCACCACTGTGGGGTATTTGCTCAGTGAACCATTCTCTATCTCCATCTCAGTACGTTGAATTTAAACTCTGAAGCTCTCCAGATTCAGTTTGCTATAAAACTGCCACTCTCTGGCTCTTAAATTTATCATTTAAATGCAAATTGGCATAAAAAAATAGGGTAGATGAAAGTTAAAAGAGATCAGATGTTATCTTATTAAGTCAGCATTTCATTAGGCAATTGATTTAGAATCATTTCAAACTGCAGTCCTGTGAGATAGTTTTATTTATTTATTTGTTTGTTTGTTTATTTATTTAACTAACACTACAATATCAGAAAAATCATAGAATGGATTTAAAAAGCATTCTTTTGTTTGACAGCTTGAGAAAGCCATAATGCTAGGTTGGAATCTACTGACAGATTCTAATAAGTGAAAACTCAGGTATTGTAAAGAAATTGACAATTTTCTAGACCTGTGGTTCATTAGCTTTTAAAGGTCATACTTAAAATTTGCATCATTACAAATATCATCTCCCAGGGAAGGAGTGCCTTTTCTTAGAGAATAGCACCCCCCCAAAAAATGAGACCTATGGATATGTGAAAACATCAGTAAGTTAGAAGCTCTCATTGTGTTTGCTCCAAATAAAATTCAGCTGTAGAGATCATTTATGGTATGCTATCCTTGGAAATCACTTGAAGATAGAAATATTAAAATGTCAATTAAATAATGATTGATATGGTTAATAATTCCAGATGGTTTAAAAGTATTACCATTTTCCTAGTTTCATCACAGTGAACTATTTATTAAATTTAACACTATGCACTACTTTATAAACATTATTTATGGCAGATATTAAAATAAGACCTTGTTTTTCTGTCTATTTTGAAGCATTTAAATTTGGACTATGGGAAAATACATTTATAAATATTCTGTTTAGTGCAGCAAGTTTGATAGAGGAAGCCAGGTGAAGGCACATTTGGGTAGTAAAAAGGGATGGATGCATTGGAACTGCTGTCAAAAACCTCAAAATGGAGATTCTAAATCTTCACTGCAAATTAGAATGACATTTGAAGAGTTTTTAAAAATTCTGATGTCCAGGCATACTCTAGTACATTCAAATAAGAATTTCTGGGAAAGGAATCAGGCTTCAGTATTTGTTAATGCTCTCCCAGTCAATTGGGCACCCAAGGTTGAGAACCATTGCCTTAAAGACTAAACAGGGTTTAGAACTGCATGGAAAACTGTTCTTTGACTATGCGTAACTTAAGCAAGATGGCAGTCTCTTACAGTCACGTGCTCCAGTGATCTTAAGTGGTACATGTGCAAGGCATTAAATGATTATCTGTCACTGAAGGAAAAAATTACTCTTTTCCCCCTCCACTTATCTTTCTATCCTCCTGAGGACTTCAAAGAGAAAGACTTCATTTGTTGCTGGTGACTCTGTAATACATCTCTGTACTTGTTTATCTCCCTTTTAAATCAGAGAATGGGCTCAGGCCCAGAGCCTTCATCTAGTATAGCCTAGAATTTAATAACATAGTTTCATATTTCTCATTTAAGATTATCTTCCAGCAAGTAATACAGATTTAAGTGATATAAGATTTCCTTTGTTAGTTATTTAAAATAACTGTAAATAAATATAAAGTAAACAACAGTGCACATTATATTCATATACGGAAAAAGTCACAAGGGTAGTTCTCAGATGAATGTGGTTTGGGCAACCCTATTGTTAAGGTAAGAGGTATCCAAATGTTGTATCATGAGTTTTGGCCCTAATTATCCCTCCATCACTAATTAACTTTATGATTTTGGAAAAACTACCCATTCTCTTCCCTGGGCCTTGGTTTCCTCATTTGTTGAACAAGGCCATTAACCTATATTTCTGGCATTCTTCTATGAGTTTAAGAAGCAAGGAGGGCTTGCCCTCTGAATCTACCTTGTTGACATCCAGGCGCATCTTCTCATTGTTGGCACTAGCAGCTTTCTCAGCTGCTTTCTTTTGGCGTTGGGGTCCCCTCCCAAAAAAGATGTAGTTGACCAAAGCATATTCCAGAAGGGCCATGAAAACAAAGACAAAGCACCCCATCAGGTACATGTCAATGGCCTTCACATAGGGGATTTTAGGGAGAGTCTCCCGCAGGTGGGTATTGATTGTGGTCATTGTAAGGACGGTTGTAATTCCTGAAAAAAAAAATGACAGAGTTAGAATCATAACGTCCCTGTTTCCTTGCTGCTTTCATCATAGTTGGAAAGATTAATTGTACTCGTTCACTTATTCATATACACCACAAAATACTTACTGGGTACTGATTACGTACCTGCGCTGTGATAGGCCCTGGAGACACATTTAAATCATGAATTTACAGTAAAATTAATCACTTGGAGACTTTTCCTTTATTTACATTTTTATATTTATAGTTATATATCTAGTGAGGGGCTAGAGATGTGAATTAAATGCTATGGCAGACATCTGTATACGGTGAATGTTGAGGATATGGAGAAGACCCTAGTTGAGCCTCGTGATGCAGCAGGAGAGAAGTCTGGAAATAAAACCTGGAGCTGAGTCCTGAAGGATGAGTGGGAGATACCCAAGCAACAAAGGACTGGAGCTCAAGGTGTGGTAGAGAGGGCTTTTATAAAGGTGTGCTTTGTGTGTGGGGGGAGAAAGAACATGGCTCTTCAAAAGCATCTCAAGAAAGTGAATGGGGTATATTATAGGATATGACAGGAAGCACGGTGAGGAGAGTGAAGATTAAGCAAGGCTGCATAATGGAGAGCCATATATACAGAGCCTAATGGGGAGTCTGAACTTAAAACTGAAGGCGAGGTGGGGCCTTTGACCAGCTTTAAGCAGGGAAGCGAGGGACAAATTGTGTTTAGGACAATCAGTCTGGTACTAGTGTGGAGGATAGAAGGAAAGCATACAAGACAGAAATAAGGAATCCCAGCTAATAGTTTTTCAGGATCCTCTATGTGATATAGAGAAAATAAATTAAAATAATCACAATAGTACTGAAATCAGTGAATGCATTATACAGATGATATAGACAAATGACTATAAAAACTTCGAAGCTGGAAATGATGGGTAACAAAGAGGCAGGTGTCTAGCCCTCATGTTTCTGGACTGGGCAACTAGGCATGTAATGCACAGATAAATAATATAGAAGCATTATAAGATTATGGGAAATGGCATACTGGGTCAAATTATAATTGTTCATCCCACTGAGTGGTCATCTCCAACAGTGAACAGTAGTTTCCCCTCTACAATTGGAAAGATAGAGAGAGATATGCTGGGTAAAAGCACTGGGAGTCCAGAATCCTGAGTATGGCAAGGTCCAGTTTTGTAGCAAAATAGTGATGTAAAAATAGAGCCCAGAGATCAAGATCACACAGATGGGAAATGGTATAATCGACATTTGAATGGGGATCTGTCTGACTCAGAAAGCTGAGTTAAGTTTCATTTCTATGATTTTTTGGAAGTATAAGTTTTCTGATTTAATTTTATTTCTCTGAAAAGATAATTTTTGTCTTATTTTTCTACATGCTCATAAAACAGCTATAGAAAAAATAAATTTGCATGTCTGATTCTGAGCAGGGCCAGAAAAACTCTATTCTTACTTTAGGTGTCTTAGAGTTTTTGTATCTTTTCTATAATATCAGTTATTTTGAAACATTCCCCAGTTTCATTTATCTTTTCATTATTTCAACTGCAGATTATCCTGTTCAATGTGTATATTATAAGACTGACAGTGCTGATTTTGCTTTTTATCTCAATCTCATTTTAAGATATTTCTGACCAAGTAATAAATTACTCACATCAAAAGACATTTTACAAATTTCTTTTAAAAAGTAAATAATTTATTTATTATTCCTGTAATAGACATTAAATTGACAGTAGATTTTCACTTTGGAGTAAGAGGATATTTACAAATTCCATTCATTACTTTATTCAGCAAATATTTACTGAACACCATTCATTGTGTGAGTTATTACAGGCATAATGGAAGCAAAATCAGATAAGGACCTTTCTTCAATGTATCTTTCAGGACCATGAAGAAAAGGGACATCACAAACCAAATAAATATAAATTATAACTGTAATTGTTCTACAAAAGGAAGTTCTCTAGTATTTTAAGAGAATATATCACAGGGGACTGGACTCAGTCCAGGAGGTCATTACTTCTCCCTTCCATTCTTGAACTGCCACAATCTAATCTTAACACAGTTGCCAGAGTGACCCCTTTCAATCTGAAATCAAATCGTGTCACATCTTCACTCAGTGACTCTCTCATTTCACTCAGAATAAAAGCAAAACCTTTATCATGGCCCTGGAACTGCTCAGAATCTTGGGGACTGACAATGTAGGGGAGCTACATTGTCTTGACTCCTGAACTCCCTCTTGCATTCACCTCACTGGCCATCTCGCTGACATCCTTGGCACTTTACTATCTCAGGGCATTTGTATATAGGTTAGAATATTCCCATCCAGACATTTAAGTGTGTCTGTCTTCTTGAAGTCTTTGGTCCATCAATAATTTCTGAATGAAGTTATTGTAAACTGTACCTCCTGGCATATCCCACCCTTACCTTGCTTATTTCCCTCTATAGACTTAACACAGTTCACATATTATAAGCAAAATATATTTATTGTCTTTTTACTGCTAGCGTATCTTCCAGAAGGGCACTGCTTTATCTCTAGTGTCTAGTACGTTTGGCACATAGGTGTTCAACAAATATTTGTGGAATGAATAAATGAATGACTTCTCTAGGGAAGTGATGATTGAATTGAGATATCACAGTGAAGAAGTTAACAGCCCAACATTTTAAAGGGCTTAGTCAGAACTAAAAACAATAAAAATTGTGTAAAAGATCATAATTTACTATATCTGGAGTTAGTAACATAAAAATGTTCATGAAATATAATTTATTCTCTTCCTCTGGTGTTACAATAGAAAAAAAAAATCAAGCATAAGATAAGCGATGCTATGGATGATTTCCAAGCAATCTTACTTTGTTGTCTTCTGCCCTCTACCCTGCTACTCCAAAATCTTAATAAGGTTTTAGAAGTCTTTTTGCTTATCTGTTAGTTACATGATACATTTCCTTGTCTTCTGCTCAGAAAAAAAAAAAAAAAAAAAAAAAAGACAAAATGGAGCTCTTTCCAGGTAAAAAAGCACTGATGCAAACTGAACAATTATCAAGTGATATTACATGAATATGCTTCAATAAAAATATCAAATTGATGGGACTAATTTCATTACCAACTGCTATATGGTAAACTAATTTTGACATGAAAGAGTTTTAATTTGTTTTTAATTGATTTAATGCTGAATCAGATAACCCAAAGTCTCACAGCCAAATTCTTGTAACGTGCATAGTCCAGTCTTGTCACGCATCATAAATACCAGGGTAAGGAAAGGATGTGAGTGGACGTGCATGCGCATACACACACACACATGCACACATGCGTGCACACACAGAGTCAAGCTCCATAAGCAGTTAGAAAATGGCCTACCTAATGCCACTCTTGCAGCTGATGCATCATAATTAATCCAGAAGGAGACCCAGGAGAGGATAGTGATCAGGATGGAAGGCATGTATGTTTGCAGAATAAAGTAACCAATGTTTCTCTTAAGCTTAAAGCTGAGGGACAACCTGGGATAGGAACCTAGAAAGGCAATTTTAGGACATCATCATTATCAATCAGTATTTATAGGATACTTTCCTTTTAAGGCCAGTAAGTAGTTTGCATATCTTTCTTAAATTCAATTTTAGCTCCTGGTGAAGGGCACTTTCTCCTGCAAAAGTAGTCTGAGAACACCGGGCTTTTAATTATCAAGAGTCATTCAGAGTTGAGTACACTCATACTCCTGAGTAGTTAAAAGAACTCCAGCTCTTCCTTGCTCAGCCTCGGGCACTCGATCAAAGATACTCATTCTCTCCAACTATGAAGATAAGATAGTTTGGTACAGCCCCTTTGTTCCCCCTCAGCTGTTTCTCAGCAAGACTATCCTGTAAGATTTTTGTTTGTTTGTTTTAGTTTTTGTATATAAGAATAAGGCTGCGCAGTCGGATCATATTTTAGAAATCTCTTCACAAGCCCTAGAATTCATTGTAAGTCTGGGATCGATGGCAAGGCTTCAGGTACACAGCAATTCCCTAATGTTCTGTGAAGGTTTTCACATGTATGGATCACATTTTTTTCCTGATTCCATCAAAGTTCTAAGGGGATTTCTGACTCACCAAACGATGGAAAATCACTGGTTTCAAAGATATTTGTGGGAGACAAAACTAAAGGATCAGGTTCCTGTAGCTAGGTCCTTTGATTGTGATGATCTGGGGAATTACTCTTTAAACAAGATATGTAATTGAACATAGTCTTAGAACATAAAAAAGTCACATTGATAAATAGTGTGTTTTGGGTGTGATATTCTTACTAATATTGAAAGAAAGCCTGTCTAGCCATCTTGGGCTCTAATAAGTATCGTAATATTGAAATAAGAATATTTTAAGTATGAACTCATATCTATAGTCTCAGGGATTCAGAAGACCTCAAATTTAGGAAAAGTTTCTGTTTGTTTTTTAAAGCTAGAGGCTTCGTATTCTTACAGAATGCCCTTAGCAGAAGGGCAATTAAAATGTATAGTTACAGTACTAGCTATTTCTGTGCCTGGGGAATTCATTCCAATAAGAAAAACATAAAAAGAAATATTCCTGTGGGTTTATTGTTTGTTTTTTCCCTTAAGAGTATGTAGCAAAGTATTACTTTCCTGAGCTTTTTTGTTAAAATTTTGTGCTGATGAAACCAAATTTGACAACCTAAAACCTCAATGCTAGAAGATTAACAATGGAGAAAGCATCAGGATAATCTCAACATCTGGAAGGGCTTTTAGCTCCAAAACAGGAGGTAAGGCTACATAAAGAAATTCTTAATCATTGAGGAAAATGTGGAATTCTCCTATTGACTTGGCTCTCTCCAGTATTTTTCAAAGGATTATGAGGAGTTCTGTAAGATGCATAAAGTTGGGGAAACAACTCTGACCCAGATCTTCATTTCTCTTTCTGCATTCTATCTCTAACCATTAGTCCATTCTTGGTAGATGAGAGCCATAGAAGAACCCTCTCGGCTTTGTTGGGGATGCCTCCTGGGAAATAACTGCATGGGTCCCAAATGAGCAATGAGCTTGATGGGGTTCTGAAGGTTTTCAGCAGATCTAAATCTTCTACTCATCATCTTTCCCTGGGACCCAGTCATGATATCAATGGACCCTTTTGCAAAATATGTGGAAGCCCCCTTTCCCTTAACCCTCTTCCCTGATACAAACCTGTGGAAAAAACAACCTTCTTGGTGATAAGTTTGTAATCCACAATAGAGAACTGTGGAAGTTCAATCTTTGTCACTCCTGTTACTGCGTTATCATCCCCACGCCAGTAAAACTCAATGTCATCAGTGGTATATCCATCTGTAAAAGGAAACACACACACATACACACATATATACAGATACACAAAACAAACAAAACAAAACAGGAAAAAATACTTGTTTAAAAGATGAACTATGTTAATGACAACAGCCATAGCTAAAGGCTACTCTGTGTTAGGTATCCCGCTAAGCACCTGAAGTTTATCACCACATTTAGTTTTCCCAACACTCTCATGAGGGAAGTAATTAGGCCCACAGGAGGCTGCAAAGGTTTAGTGAAATTAACAGTTTGCAAGTAGGAAGTAGTATATAGTTCCAACTTGCACCCTGGTTCATTTGATTATGAATCTCATTTTCTCAAACATGATCACATTATTACATGACCCTGGATGGTACTCTAAGTGAAGACAAAAGCAGAGAAAAATATCATTTAAGTTATCAGTGCAGTACTGAATGCTATCAAACTCCCCCATATAAAATTTTTGAATTATAATATATTTGGTTTCAAGTCAGAAGAGTAGTGATTATGAAGTGAGTCATCATTTTTTAATATTATAGACACGATGTCCAAATTTGATTTTGCAGAAGATCTAAATTCCAAAATATACTCCCCCAAATAACTGCAATGAATAAGCACATATTAGATTATAAACAGAACAATACAGGGAAGCATGCAATGAAATACACTAAACATTAATATTTATAAATGGTACACCCACCCCCAAAATCCCCCTTGCGAAGCATAAATTATATTTGTATATCATATTTATCCCTTCAAAGAACTTTTGCATCCAGAGAGTTGAATTTTTACAAGTCTAGGAGGTAGGCAGGACAGATATTGCTCCCCAATTTAAAGCAAAACAAACAAACAAACAAATAAGTTAAGACTGCTTAAGTTCTTTGCCTTTTGACATGTGACAAGTTAGTGTAATATAGAACTAGAATATCAATCCTTTCACTCTTAACTCTTATAATTTTCATTAAATCACATTTCTTCCAAAGAGAGCAAGTCAAATCTCAAAAAAGTGGAAATGGATTATTTTTCAAAAAATTACAGTGCTCTTGATTTGAGAATCTACATCAACCATAGCACAGCTAGACACTGTCTTAAGTTAATTTTCTAGAAATCTGCACTCCTTTTTACTCATAAGAGCAACCATCTTTATCTGATGCAGAAATACAGATTTTTAGAAGAGTTATTGAACTTCTGGTTCCAAAACTATAGGCTTTTAGATGATAGCTAATGATTTTTTAAAAGGCTTGTTTACTTGCAAACATCATAAATTATAATCAAAATTGTGAAAATTTAATAGATTATACACCACCACCATTTTTATTAGCATGATCTCATTTGGAGCCATTTGTTTTATTAGAGAATGTCTTTCTTCATATGAAACTTTGACTTAAAAGCAAATTATTCATAATTTTAAAGGGAAGTCCAGGTATATAAAGTGAATGGCACAGTAAACAGATTCTTCTCATTCTCCATTAATCTACCCCATTAATATTCTCCCTCTAATCCTAAAATCTAAGGTATTTGTCCCAAAGGATAACTGCTGTTTTCTGTGATTGCAACTGTCTTAATATGGCTATGGGAATCTTCACCATCCAGGATTTCATCTCAAATATAGTCCCATTTCTCATTGTTTTTTTGCACACATCTCTCAGTTATGAAATTGTTTAGTCAATGACAATCTCACCTTTGATAAAACAGCTTAAAATAATAAAAGAAGGGCAATTTGCTCTTAGAATCAAGCTAGCTAGTTAGAAATGCATTGTAGAATTGGATTTATGGTATATAAACATGAAAGAAAGTATTTATGAAACAAGAAGTCCATAGTTTTCTAGAGAAAAGAGGTGTTGAATGCTGCCATCTTCAAAAGAGAACGAGAGTAAGTCAACTCTAACATTTCCAATAGAGAACTAAGTCTAAATTAGTGAAGAATGTGTTTCTCGTCCTCCAGCTTCCTTACCTCAGTTTCTACCTTGCTTGTCCATCGCTACAAACCTTATCACAGAAGCTCTCTGTAGGCAGAGGCATGGGAATATATAGCATTTCAATACAGCTGTATAGGAGATGCCTAATAATTGTTTAATAGGTAAAAATATTATTATTGATTATAGACTTTTGTCAAATGCCAGCTATTTGAAACAGTGCTTTCTAGGTAATACCTGGTAGAGGAGAGGCATTTGGGATATATTGTTGAATTAATACAATAATTATTTAATACATGTGTGGATTTGGGTAATGGTTGCTTATCCAGATGCTTGGCATCGTGGAGGTATTCATCATGTTTATACATCTGTCTCTTGCTCCTAATACAGTACCTGGCACATAGTTGTATTAAATAAATATCTTCTGAGTGAATTAAAAAAAAAGTCACCCAATGATAACATAGCCCCTAAGAAAAATCCAAAAGATCTTTATTATGTATTTATCTTTATATAATATTCAGCAACTTTATCTTTATATAATAGTTCAACAAGTTGCTTAACTTCTCTCTCTCCTCCATTTTTTAAATCTGTAAATTGTAACAACAATAACAACAATAATAAAAGCTACTTCAGAATTGTTTTGCAGGAAAAATGATTTGTTACTTACAAAATGGCTTAGAAAAGTACCTGGTAGATAATGCTCAAAAAGGTTAGCTAATACATTCTTTTCAAATAAGAATTGTTTAAAATGAATTAAAAACTCATATTTGGTTGCATGTCACTTTGCTTCTATTTCATGAACACATGAACGCATTTACACAATGGGAAACTTTGGTGTTCAATGACACAGAGCCCTCCAAGGTATTTGGAAGTTGAAAGTAAAACATTTGAAATTTATTTTGATGTCTAAGATTTTGGAATCTGACATAATGGAGCAGCACATTGTAATACTTCTTGGTCACTGCTGATCTTAAAAATCCCAATCTTCTTGACTTCGTTTTGGGTTAGCCAAGTGTAGAATGTTGCCAGTGGAAAGCAAATGTATGCTCGTGCTTCACTGATTTTTGAAGATGAAAGACCAACAATCCATGACAGTGCCAGGGTGGTCAAGTTCACAAGCTGGCTTAATATACTGTACAGGATAAACTGAAAGCAGACCTAGTTTTTCTTCTTCTTCTTCTTCTTCTTCTTCTTCTTCTTCTTCTTCTTCTT